AGTTCATAATAAACATCTTCTAGTTCCATTTTTGAAAAGTGTAAGTAGACATTTTTGAAATACCACAATTCTGTTTTTAGATAGACAACCTCTATCAGAGCCTTACTCTCGATTCTTTTACTAATATGGAAAAGTCTCGTGTGGATATGATCAAAAGAGGTATAGCTAATAAAAGCTATCAACTTGATCCTCTCGACCTGGATTCCATACTATCAAACCGAAGTTCTTTTTTCGAATACGGGTCCCATATCTTTTGAGTTTGTTAACTCTACTCTACTAGAAGATTATGAATATTGCTACTATTCTTGTTATCAGGATTTTTTGAAAGATATTAAAAGAGTAGGTAGAGTGGAATATTTGGTCAAGATTCCTTGCTTATTGATTAGTTCTAAAATGATTATGCTAAAGGAGCGAAAGCCACTCGACTGATAAGGAGAGGAGCTTTTCAGCCACTTTTAGGAATCGAATAAGCAATCACAAAGAATGGTAAGCGCTACGAACCTTTGCCCAGTTCATCCGAGTAAGGTTGCCAGCGTATATATAGATAGGTTAGGGAATGGCCAGCAGTTTAGTTCCCCACTGGGGGCACATTTGGTTTGAAACTCTCTATCTAAGAGTCTTAGGTTATAGAAAACCCTATAGTAAGATGCAAGCTTAGTTGAGTCAATTAGTAGGTAGGGCGGACTACTCAATTGACCCCAGGGTTGTTTATGTAGTTGCTTGTAGTTTTTTTTAGTTGCTAGCTCTAAATAATGATTTCTAGTTAAGGAGAGAGAATCAATGTTAAGTAGTACGCCTGGTTCACCGGGTTCTACCACTTAAGGTCCCAATCTTTGGTATGTCCCTTAGTTAGCTGGGCATACCATTATAATGCTCTCGAAAGATACTTATTGGCATATGATATGTTGTTATATGCTTTACACATGTACCTTGGACTCTGCTTTCTATATTGATCTTTAGCTGAAAGACCCGATCCTTTCTCCTGTTCCTGAAACGAATGAGTGTCTTGTGATTCTCGGTAAAATGGAAAGTGTGAAATTGGCCAGTGTTTTCCCTTTCTCTTTTGGTTCAAAGAAAGAATAGAAAATTGCATACGAGAAGAAGGGTTCGTAGACAGCCCGAAAGAAGGTCCTCTCTTCGTATTCTATAGAAAGACGAAATAGCGTAAAGAAAGAGCAAGTCAAGTCAAATAGCCCGGTTCACCAGGTTCTACCACTGCAGGGCTCAATCATGCTACTTCAGCTATATCAATTTCAACGAAGTTTTCCGAGCCTTTCTTTCTTCCAAAAAAAGGAAGGGGGCTGGCTTTCGTTCGCAACAAGGTAGCCGTAGGGGAACCTGTGGCTGGATTGAATCCTTCTTTTATTTCGGTATGCCGCTCCGCGAGCAAGGAGCGAGAGAACCAAGTGGGCTGTGGTGATGTCAGAATTTGCACCTATTTGTATATCATTCCTTATAAGTCTGCTAGTTTCTTTGATCATACTCGGTCAAATCATTTTTAATAGTGACCAAACTACACGTTTGTTGCCCGAAGATTTTCTATTAGCTGTTCCTGCCGTGTTGTTATGTAGCTTTAGCATTCCGATTGCCTTTTGTGCCGGCGAGAGTATTGAAGCTTTCCATTCGGATTTATTTACGTATACTTCGGATATGCTGGAAGACTCAGCAAGTTCCGGGCGTAGTAGTAGTACCTCAGCGGTAAATCAACCGCTTCCGGGGGAACAAGCTATGCCTCCCGCTCTTCCTGTTATGCAGCAGGAAGCTGCTAATCAGGCTCCGCCCTATGTCCCCTACCCCTATCAACAAAATGAAATAATCGGGGGAGATAGTGTGGAATATATTGAGCGGAGGCTGTTGGATGGATTAGTATTTCCTTCAGCCGATGAAATCTTATTTGCCCGGATTGAAGCCCAAGACCTATTCGAGGTCAAGGTTTATATAATCCGTAAAATGGCTGAACTCCATCCAAGTGGCGATTGGATGGGACGAGGGGCGCGGGCAATGGACAATCCCCGTACCGCCACTGGCGAGGAGGACCTGCTTAGGTTATATCAAATGCTTGATGACCTAAATAGCAGTAATTTGCAATCTGCAACCTTCCGCCTGTTGGTCGAAAGAGTCCACTTACGGGCGGGTGAGGATCAGCACTCTGCCACCTAGGACATGGATTAGATCGCGTGCAAGCCTCCCTGTCTTTTTCCTTGGAAAAACCAAGGCGATTTCATTGAATTAGCAAGTCTCCAGACTGATTGACTGGAGCAGGAGAAGTCACATCACTGAATCAATCATGCCTCAACTAGATCAATTCACTTATTTCACACAATTCTTCTGGTCATGCCTTTTCCTCTTTACTTTCTATATTGCCATATGCAATGATGGAGATGGAGTACTTGGGATCAGCAGAATTCTAAAACTACGGAACCAACTGGTTTCACACCGGGAGAACAAGATCCAGAGCAACGACCCCAACAGCTTGGAAGATATCTTGAGAAAGGGTTTTAGCACCGGTGTATCCTATATGTACTCCAGTTTATTCGAAGTATCCCAATGGTGTAAGGCCGTCGACTTATTGGGAAAAAGAAGTAAAATCACTTTAATCTCTTGTTTCGGAGAAATAAGTGGCTCACGAGGAATGGAAAGAAACATATTATATATTATAAAAAATACCTCAGAGAGCACCAATCATCCTGGGTGGGGGATCACTTGTAGGAATTACATAATGCTAATCCATGTTCCACACGGCCAAGGAAGAATCGGTTTTTAATCTCATTATGACGGGGATCAAAGAAAAAAAGACTCCTTTCCCCGCCGTTCATAAAGGTTCTCGAGATTCTCAATCGCTCTTTTGAGTGGGGAGTAATAGTGCGGGAAGGGAGCGAGACCAAGCCGAGCCACTAGGAGAGTAAGCCTTTTCCACGTGTAAAGTTGAATATGAATAAATGAATGCAGCCTCAACCAGAGAGAGCAACCTGCGCCTTTGAGTTTAGGCCGCTGGCGGCGCAGAACGAACTACCATAAAGTTTTCCGAAAGAGCAAGAAAACGGATGCGCTAACGCGCAACGTGCGGATCGAGCAAAGCGAGAGGTACAAAGTGACTCGACTGAAAGGAGAGGTTAGAATAGACTCGACTGAAAGGAGAGGTTAGAATACCCTTGCTTGTTCTTTCGCGGTAGGGTGGCCTCTACTATAAAGCGTTGCCACTTCATACTTCATTTTTACTTTACAAAAATCTTGCTTCAAATCAAAGAAAGAAGGTCCATTTTCCCACGTAGTTCGTCGGTCAAACCAACGATTATCTTCTAAAAGTAATAGACAGATCTTTTTCTAGTTAGACTTCTATCAATGCAATGAAAGAACCATCCCTTCCTATTTGTTTGTCCTGTCAGATATAAATAAAATGAGACCCCAAAGAGCCCTTCTTTACTACTTTAGGGGGTGGGGGTGAAGGGGTGGTTTACATACAAACCGAGGCAAAGTGGTTTATGATTGAATCTCAGAGGCATTCTTATCATTTGGTAGATCCAAGTCCATGGCCTATTTCGGGTTCACTCGGAGCTTTGGCAACAACCGTAGGAGGTGTGATGTACATGCACTCATTTCAAGGGGGTGCAACACTTCTCAGTTTGGGCCTCCTATTTATCCTATATACCATGTTCGTATGGTGGCGCGATGTTCTACGCGAATCCACGTTCGAAGGACATCATACCAAAGTCGTACAATTAGGACCTCGATATGGTTTTATTCTGTTTATCGTATCGGAGGTTATGTTCTTTTTTGCTCTTTTTCGGGCTTCTTCTCATTCTTCTTTGGCACCTACGGTAGAGATCGGAGGTATTTGGCCACCAAAGGGGATTGCGGTTTTAGACCCCTGGGAGATCCCTTTTCTTAATACCCTTATTCCCCCTTCATCCGGAGCTGCCGTAACTTGGGCTCATCATGCTATACTCGCGGGGAAGGAAAAACGAGCAGTTTACGCTTTAGTAGCTACCGTTTCACTGGCTCTAGTATTCACCGGCTTTCAAGGAATGGAATATTATCAAGCACCCTTCACTATTTCGGATAGTATTTATGGTTCTACCTTTTTCTTAGCAACTGGCTTTCATGGTTTTCATGTGATTATAGGTACTCTTTTCTCGATCATATGTGGTATTCGCCAATATCTTGGTCATCTGACCAAGGAGCATCACGTTGGCTTTGAAGCAGCTGCATGGTACTGGCATTTTGTAGACGTGGTTCGGTTATTCCCATTTGTCTCTATCTATTGGTGGGGAGGTATATGAAGGAACGAATCAGTGGATTGAGGAATGAAAGCTCGAAGACAAGGAGAACCGGGCTTTTCCAAAGAATTACTGCAGCTTTCCCACTCCCTTTGATTATCATATACATCAAAGTCAAACTATCTTCCACTTTCCTACCAATTCTCTCTCTATTCTGGCACATAAATGAAGGGATCGAAGAGATTATGGCGGATCATGTTCACCAAGAAATGACCCGAAATTTGATCTTGGTTTATTTTAGATTGTTCCTTTTAATCGTAATAAAAGATGTTTTCTTGTCTCTCGTTTCTTTTATGAATAAATCGAAGAACCTAATGGATCCAACTCCTACATTTGAGAGAGTTTCACTAATAAAGGCGGAAGCGGCAAATCGCTTATACCGAAGCTTAGCTTAGTAGCTTCACTCTTTATACTGGCGTGGCGCTGCTGGATGCTTTTGATCAATAGCAATAGGAAGAGGAGGAAAAAAAAAGAAAAAGAATATGATGAGCATCTATTTGAGTCGATCATTTCCAAGATCTAATTCAAGTTTTTTCTTATGTAGTGGAAACGCCTTAAAATCTGAAGTTTTACGCTTAAGGGAAGAAATGTTCTTGGTGGATGCAGGACTTGGGACCCCCAGAATTTGTATGCAAGATGAGCCTACAGGAGTCCCAATCAACCGAGCCACCAGGTTTGAGAATAAGGTGGGATCCCTGGATCTAGTAGCCGGTGAATCACTGATCAAAGAGCATATTTTGGAGAGATTATTCATCGATCTAGTGGCCGGTGAATCACTGATCAAAGAGCGAGCAGCCGCCAGGTTGAATGATTTGGTGGGATCTACAGATGTAGTGGCTGGTGAACCGCTTCTTCTTCTTCCACGAAGATTCAGACAAAACCGAGCTTGGCTGGAACTGAACAAGATTTGGCGAACGAATACAAAGGTCAAAGGCTTTATTATTGAGAAAGTAAAAGGAGGTTATTCAGTAGCCATCGCAGGTTTCATTACTTTTATTCCATTCCGTCGTCGTAAAAGAATATCGAATGATCGATTCGCCATTGAGAGCATGAACCCAGACGAATATTGTGGTGTTCTAACAGCGGCGTTCAGAACCAGTCTTTAAGTGAATGAATTAGAAAGAACGAAGAAGTCATGATGAAAAAGAGAAAGATAAAGAACGGAAAAGTCATGATGAAAAAGATTAAAGAACGGAACCTGGTGGACATTTATGCGACTGCCACTACTATAGGGAGAGAACAACCCACTAGCAGCATTTCGGCTGCTCCAGCTGGAATAGGGACAGAAGTGGCTACAACCAATAACCTTGCTACCGTTGTTGAACAAACAAATTCCCCCTTGCAAGTTTTTGAGATGGAGTCCAAAAGTCTTTTTGATACCACTGACCTTATCTTTGATGGACTTTGTGATAATCTGATTTCACTTCACTCCATGAATCCCATCCCAAAATTGAGTTCATTTTCATTACCACACGCTGAAGAAGTGATTGAGTTGGGGGTGAACGTCATGTTAGAGCAATACAAATTTCCCGTCTCATCCCTTCTACAGATGCAATTGGATTTAATGACAAGTGGGGTCAATTCCCAATTTTATCACTTTTTTGTAGAAAGTATACTATAAGTTAGAATGTTTTATAATTGGATTTCGAGGATGAGCCGGCCGGCAAAGCCTCCTCCTCAGATCAAGATGTATTCGGCGCCGGTTATTCTATTGTTCTTTTTTTGGGTCAGGAGAGACAAAAGAGAGATGCTTTCTATAAGTCAAAATATGAAGAAAGAGTAGCCCGCCCCCCCATGACTAATCCACTTTACCGAGGAATAGAAAGGAAGGACCGGGGGCCAGATTGGGGTTGGGGTATAGAGCCGTAAGCGCGGTGGGGGGTGACAGAGGACGTGCTCGTACGGTTCATATAAGGATATGATAAAGTACTTTTTTATTGGGAACTTTCAGTCCTCTATATTCGAAATATGCCTTTCTAGGAGCATTACGATCTGCAGCTCAAATGGTCCCTTATGAAGTATCTATTGGTCTTATTCTTATTGTGCGCCTTGTGAGCGCGTTTGGATCCGCGAAGGCAATCGCTCGGATGTTCCCCTAACCCAACCCGGAAACGGACCGGAGGGAACCGCAGCATGGGGAATGTCCGCGTCTCGTCGCAAGGCTCATTTTGAGTTGTGGGTCATAGGGCGGGCAGCTTTATCTGATCAAGGGCCGGGGCACAAGGGTCCTGGTACTATCCAGGTGCGAAGAACCCCGGATGTGACTGCAATGAGCAGAAATCTAACTCACGGGCCTAAACGACGAGAAAACAGTCGAACGTGAGAGCAAGGGATCACCTAACGAATGGACGAGCTCAAAGGGGGGAGGGAGGCAAGAACCATGCTTTAAGAGAAGTGGCCTTATCTTCACTGCGAGAATAACTGACTAAGCCGTGCCATAAGGGGTCATTCTCCAAACGGGACGGGGCCAAGCCTTTAGGTTGGGTGACAGATCGGCCATAGGAGTACTCCGGGATATAAACCAGGGCAACAAAAGTGGAGCATACGACGATGCCGCCCGTTTTCATTTCGTGGAAGTCCCCGGCAGAGGAAAGGGCTGTAGGTGATGGCTTATCTATAGAGGGGCGGTGAAATCCTTTCTATTGGTTCGTGCGTGGCAGCTGGTATATGATGAAAGGCGGGCCGCTTTTTCGGGACCTATTCTCTTCATAGGCGGAAAAGCGAAATAGGAAAGGTACTTTTGTTTCGAGAGGGTGTCTTTTTAGTCTTTCAAAGGCTCTCATGTGGAGCTAACATGGCAGGCTACATATAAGTCTAGCCAAATAAAGATGAGATGGGACGGACGGTCAGAGGCCGCAGCGGGACTACCATAGGAAAGCCCGCCCCCGCTAGCTAACATAGAAAGATATTCCCGGATAGCAGTAGTCTCTATGTCAATCTCTTCCCGACCGGGCCACCACTTGGGATGGGAATGGCTCAGCCCACATGCATCATTTGATGAAAGCACTCCAGTCCAGTCGCCTCCGATGATTGGTTTGTAAACCACGCTTTCTCTCCCTAAAAACAATGCTCTTCACACGAAAGTGTGCAGTTCCGCCCCCCTTCTCCCATGCTGAGTCACAGGCAGCGCCTCGGAAAGCACGGACGAGCCACATGCAGGGAAACTTGCACGTGTGGTTCTGGCCGGGGACCCCCCCCGGTATACTGTACTAATATGTGTAGGTTCCCGTAATTCGAGTGAGATTGTCATGGCGCAAAAGCAGATATGGTCCGGTATTCCCTTGTTCCCTGTATTGGTTATGTTCTTTATTTCTCGTCTAGCAGAAACTAATCGAGCTCCATTTGATCTCCCAGAAGCGGAAGCTGAATCAGTTGCAGGCTATAATGTAGAATATGCGCGGGATGCGATCCTTAATAGTTCACTGTTGGCGGAAGCCAATGTCCCGGGATCCCGGGGACTCATTCTGACTGAAACAAGGGGCGGGTCTTTACCAACTTCCAAATATTCTATTTTAGGGAAGCTGAGCGCCTAGCGCGAAAGCTTGCTTTACTAAGTAATAAAGTAATATAAGGCAAGAAGCAAGGGTATTCTAACCTCTCCTTTCAGTCGAGTCACTTTGTACCTCTCGCTTTGCTTGTTTAGTAAAGTCAAGCTTTTTGATAGGAGGCTAGGGCACTCTTCATTCTTCATTTGAAACTCACGAGTGTCGGGTCGGGGATTTCTGCCTTGTTATCAAAAAGGGAGTTGGGTAAAGCAAACTCTCTCCTTGGAGGAGCACGGGCTTAGTCAAGTAGAACCGGGTTGCGCTGCTTGATGTTCCGATCGAAAACAAATCAGTGGGGCCATGCCGGTACGACTGAATATGCGTTAGAAAGGTCAACCCCTCCCCTACGACACCAAAAAAACCGGGCCGAACTTATAACCCGCCCGCTTCCATAGAACAATATCGTGGCAACGTATACCTAAGTGGTAATATTGGATCCTTGGGAACCATCACAAGTACGGCCGGCCTATATTTGAACGAAAATGCCGTGTCGTCCAGCGGAGCCTAGAAGAAGGTGACTCGCGCAGACAGCTGACTCCTTTTCAATAGAAAAGAATAGCCAAACCAACCCAGCTGGCTGGTCAATCTCAGAGATCTTATCGGCCGGCAAACCGGAGACGGGCGACCACGGTCCCGACCTTACCAGCACCTGAGGTGTACTAATCAATGAAGCCCCGAAACCTACTTTCTTTTATGAAAAAAGAAACCAAAGGAGTGGAATGAAATGAAACGACTACAAGGCCTAACCGGTCACGACATGTTGTTGATATTGATTGAGTTGGAGGGACTTTCGCTGACTGAATCCATCCATAAACCTAGACCCCGGTAACCTTTGTATAACCAAAGCGTCACGACAACATCCAAAGGTCACCTTTGGATTCTTAAGTAGGGGGAAATATTTAGCAGTATTTTATTATGATGACCTGGTCGCGAGAGTACGATACATCGGTGTAAAAGATTGAGTTGGATCTGTGAGGTTGGTTATATATGTCTATCGATATGTCGCTCCTTCCTCACAACATAAGGTTGAGTGCCCTCCCGTTCGATTAGCTCTCTCGCAACAAACAGAGGAACCGAGAATGAATATGCGCTTATGTGCTGCGCTTCGACTTAGTCCTCTAACTCTAACCTTTAGTCGACCAACCACCATCTCCTTCCTAGGAAACCATTTGCCTTTGAATTCCTTTCCTAGATAAGCTATCCTCTCTAGGCGGACCTACCTTTATCAATGAAGGTTGTACTCTTTCCCATTTTTTTTTAGTTGATAGCTCCTGGAACTAGCACACCATGGGTCGGGCTCTCGATCAGCATAGATGGGCGGTGTGGATAGGGTAGAAGAGAACCGGGCAGTACCTCATACTATGCCTTCCACTATGGAAGTGGGAATCCTCCTTCTCCAGGGGGGTAACAATGGTGAAAGATTCGGAAAAGGATTCCTCTATGAACGGGCTGAGAGATCCGGCATAACCACTCACGAAAGCTTCTTTCATCATCTTTGCAGACTTGCGCCAGTTGTCCTTTCACAATCCTTAATAGTAGATCCAATTCCGGCATCATGTAGAACTCAGATCCCAAGTACTAATCAATGAAGCCCCGAAAACAAACCTCTTTGCAAAAGGGACACCATAGGGGAGGTAATTCAATTGAGAGAGAATCTATCAGTTACTTAGCGTGACACAGCTACCTACGCCGACATGTGTATGTGTACAGGAACGGGTGCGGGAGCTACCCCCTGGTGCTTTGCCGGAAGCCCTTCATCCATCTAAATATATGGAAATTATACACGCAAAGGCTTCGGTCCAATGTCCGAACATCAAAACACTTCTGGATTTCGGGCCCTACTGAGAAAGGGGAGAACCTGCCGCTTCGGATGAATTCTTTTTTTTGGGTATACCAGTGAGAGATCTGTTCCGATGGCCTCCGGCCACTGTAAAAGCCGGTAGGTTTTGCCTTAGTCGGCATTCAATGCTTATGAATTCAATTCAAAAGATGTCCGATCCTCCGATTTACTCGAAAAAGTGGTAGTCATAGGAAGCCAGCGAGAAAGCCAAGTTTGAAAGGTTCAGTTCATTTGCTCCTGACTTAGGATTGTCCGAGGAGTTCATAGTGAAATTCTCCCTACGAAAATGATCCTTAGACTCCTCCGGCGAGCCCATATAGGCCTTATCTTGGGAGTGATTAAGCCCTTGGGAGAAAGGTTACAGACAGCCCTGTCTCTGTCAAGCACTCTTATGATAATAGGAGTATTGAAAGCATTTCATTGAAAGGTTGCCGGAGCAGTATCAAATAAACCAGCTCTATATCATAAGCCAAAGAGGGGAGATGAGATATTGAGTAGGTAGTAGCCACACCAACCCTTTTGGTCTCCCATATGCTTAAAAAGTAGTGTATGGAGGACTCTGACAGAGGGAAGTCCTTGACTGGACAGACTGATTGAGAGACAGACCAGGCCAGGCTACTTTCTATTCTATAAAGAAGAGACCCTCTTGATTTCCTTATGCAGGATAGAAAAGTAGATCGTTCAACTCTAGCTTCGGTCCCACATTGAATCTAAAATCGATCTTTGCTACATGCTGCTTAAGACATTGAATTCGAAGAAAGAGAGAGTGAGCAGCTGACTTGCAACCTAGGACCTAGGGGCAGGAAAGAGGATATTACCCCAAGACTGACTTTCACTATGCATTCATTCGTGCACTATCTAAGATCCGATTCTCTAGCAACCTATTTGGAATATTGATTCATCTTCCCATCCTCTTCTTTCTATCTCCGTAGTCAGTCTGGCTGCATACTCCATCTGGATGAGTTCTGTGGCAAGCTGACGGATTCTGCAACTTATTATCTTCCGAAATAAGTTTTTATTCTAAGAGCGGAGATTTCAAAGAGAGCACCGGATCTTGCATGAATGTGCACATCCGATTTGTTCACATCTTGAATATGACCCTTTGCCATAGACCAATTGCCAGAGATTGGCTAGCATGAGGACAGATAGGCTAAAAAGAGGTTAGCCCTAGTTGATTCTGCACTCCCTACCTTAAGAGGGGCATAGCGCTTGCTAAAGGAATGCTTACCGAGAAGCTTCCCTGGTCACGAGCGAAGGGGGAAACTAAAAAGCACAGACTGCATACGAGATAAAGATCTTATTTGCTGGAACTGGAAAGAAAGATCCTCTTTGCGGAATCAAAGATAAGAGCGGGGATATTAGTGAAAAGAAAGAAGGGATTGTATTCACCGAAGAGAAGATCCTTGAGGCAAGGAGATAGCAAATGGGAGTCCGTCTTTATTCTCGGCCTAACGACTTCACTCTTATTGGGAGGCTGTCTTCTTTAAGCGAGCGAATGAAGAAAGGTGCTTTCCTTTACTAATCTAATAGAATACCCCTTCTCGATAAGTAAGGTAGGGGGCTTGCTTCATATTTCCAATATTGCCCAGGGCTTGGCTTATCGCCTACTCCTGCTGGTGAAGAGGAAGGCAAGAAGGAAGATCTTGGCGTCTCAGGGACAAATGCCACAGAAGTAGCTGTTTTCGCGTTTCGAGTTGTTGTCGCAATTGAATCATCATAGGTATAGGTAAGTGTTCCATTAACCGGTCTTTCAGGTCTGATCGTATCTTCTGTGAGAGTTGCCGGTGCTAATATTTGATGTTACAGTCAGAGCTGCAATTGAATACGGTGTTCTCGAATAATAGCTTGAGAAGAAGCGGCTATTTCATCCCGTCTGTCTGTAGTAAGCAATTCCTTTCCGGGCTGTGATTGAGAAAATATCCCCCGGGTTCGGTGGTTGGTTTTTGGTTTAATGAATATCTGTACTTCCCGGCCTTACCTGATTGCTATAAAAGTTTGAAAGGTAGGTTTTTGAAGTGATGAAATGGAAAGGAAGAACTGCTTTATGGAGGAAATGCTTATTCACTCTAATTGAATCATAAACTTTTCAATCAAACCCCAACTATTAGTGAAAGCTCCATCCTTCAATCAGTCATCTTACTCCTTCCTTTAGTCGTTCCTTCATTGACTTCGTTCATTCAGTCACTCTTTGCCGAGGGAAGGCAAACCAATCACGATGTTCGCGTCTCCTCCATACGAAATGAGAATCACGCCAATCACCAAAGAGCTCAGACCTCCTCTATATGACACCTATCATTGCGTAGATGTCATGGAAGGGCACCTCTGGTATGACCAAAGGCGTGAGATTGAAGTAGTGTACCTCAAGTCCCACCCAGGTTCATTAAGTTCACCATGTGATGAAGAGGCTCGGCACCTCACTCATACCGCTAACTCGCCCTAAAAGATGAACTTGAATCTCGATCGAACAAGGCTCGAAGAAGCTATTAGATACGAATAAGTGTTGGATTGGAGGGGAACTTCTTTCTCTTCCCCAACTTTCAAAGTCTTGCCAGGGGAAGAAGTAGCTACGGTCAACTCTAAACTATCTTTCTTCTTTCACTCATAGCTATCTGACTGTGAGGATTCCCCCTTGTATTCCCCATAGGCTAGGAAAGGTTAGTAATAGGCTAAACTACAAGTCTTGGAGCTAGGCAGCTCAGTATGGTATGAGGATCGAAGGGAAGCTAACAATGGGGATGCCCCTAGTTGTTGAATTCCTTTAGTTGGAATGAAGAGCTCCGACCTTCTCTTATGGCGCAACTAGACCAGAACGAGCTAGCTGATAGAGCTCTTATGCCTACTTCTACAAGTTAGGTCCGAAGATGCGACTAGAACTGAAAGAAGAGGAAGGTTTTTCCTGGGTAGGACTTTGGCGAAGCCAGTAAAGTTTCGGTGCATCAACCTCTTTTCTTTCATCACAAGAAAGGTTTGGAGGGGACAAGCGAGGCTAAAGGGTTAGGGCAGGAGTTCAGGATTACATTTATTGCGCCTTTGAACATGTCTCATCTAATTGAAGCGCATGATTCATCAAATATCCGCTACTATTTGATTCAAGTAGCTCGACTTCTTTATCCATTCAAGTTATAGGCTTGACTATCCGTCCTTCTTGTTATTCTCATTCAATAGTAGTAAATTGCCAGGATCAAAGTTTCATCAGGAAGCTAGAACTCTTAACTAAACCTTAGGGTAGCGAGTGCACTACAAGTAGTAGGGCGGTAACGGTATAACAGTAGCTACGGTTGCTCTGGCTGTACGTGTCTTGCCTGCTTCTTGCTTTGGTGCATAGTCTATAGGTCCAATCTCATCTGCTAGCAGCTGCTTTCTTAGTTATAAAATGATTATGCTATAATATGGGACTGCTGTCTTACATGTCCACAAAAGCAAGCGCTCTTGAAGGCTTGGGCATTCAAAAACACTTTATGCGGTTGGCTATCTTCCTTATCCTTGCCTTGATGTGCCGGAAGTTCGAAAAGCCTAAACCATCACTCCACTCCTAGTAGGGCACGAACGGTATTCAATTGATTTGAGCTCTATCGTCCCACCGCCATATCAACGAAAACAAAGGCATATTCATCCGGATATCCAGGAGGCAATCTATGTAGAAGTTCCTCCATACCTACTTTCCTTACATCCAACGGATGAGGCGGGAGTAAATAGACTGAGTGACTATGGTCAGGTAGCTCAGCTCCAGTTCACAAAAGGAAAGAAGCAAGGGATTTATTAGAAGAGAAGGCAAGAAGGAATAAGCAAGCCTACTCTCCAACCATTACCCCCGCCCTCGGTGCCTTCCCTAAGCAAGCAGCCTTTCGCCTAAAAGCCACCATCCACTTAGCTCTTGCGCTTTCAAAGTAGAAGAGTGGTCTCTTAGAAGTGCTTGTGTAAGAAGGGCAGGCCATTGCATCAATCCTAAACCCCCCCTGTGCCCAGATCAACTCCGGGCATGGAAGCTCTCAAGCAAATGGACCTAAAGCAAGGCTACTGCTTCAAAGCATGGTTGGCTAAAGGCACTCTCGGTCGTCAATTCCATCAAAGCTGGCGACAACTCCTTCCTGCCCCTAGGCAATGCTTTCCA